ATGAAAATGTAGGCGTTAACTTATTGATGATTGATTTGTTATAAGGCAGCCTTTTTTTAGTGGCTAGAAATTTTTATCTGTTGTTTTCTGCTGGCCCCCCATCCTCAGGCAAGGACATAGCTTAGGGATGGACCTGTACGTGTATAGCGCCTGTTCTAGTCTTCCAACCAACCAACAACCTTCCGGAGTAGGGACAAAACCCGCTCTTTGCTCTGCCCCCATCATTGAGATCACACAAATCTATCCTGCCGAGGCTTCAAGCTTTGCCTTGGTGTCTGAATATGGATGTTTATTGGAGGGAAGGAACTGGATACGAGTGTCGGGAGCAGGGCTTCCTATGGAAAGCTTCTCGGTGGCACAGTGTAAGCACACCTCCACCGTTTTTTTAAGACGTTAACTTCTGGTTTTAGGCCCCTCCGCTAACTTAAAATGGAGACAAAATGATTTAATCGCAGGCAGCTCTAGACTTTCCAAATGGTTATCGGACCAAATAGTTGAAATTCAGTTGTTGCCCGGGTGTTCCTGGTTCGGCTAGGACCAAACCAGTCTGGCGCAGGTCAGGGTAAATAAGCATGTGATTGTCGTTTATAATAATTTATAATCAAACATCATTGTGTATTCTGCCACACTGCCATATTAGTGCCAATCCCTGGTACAAGCAATATGTAGCTTTTATTGTTCTACAGGATTGTGGCAGTTGGCACTATATGGCAGTGTGGCACTTTTTGTCCAATATGCTTCTTCTTTGTTTTTTAATAATTCAGTGGCCATCAACTCCTGCAGGTCCTTCACAGAAGGCAGGGTGTACTGACACTACCTCTTCCTCTTTCTCACCATTAACATCCATCCTGTCATTCCTCCTCTCTTCCCTCCCTCCAGCCTGTCCCAACTGTCGCTTCCAGTACGCGCTGTCTAAAGGAGGCTGCATGCATTTCTGCTGCTCACAGTGTCGGTACCAGTTCTGCAGTGGCTGCAACAACCCTTTCCACACTGTAAGTCACATACACACATACTCTAGTCCTGTATCACAGTTTCATGCTGTGGCAATGCAAAATGGTTGTCTTTTCAACATAAAGAGCCTTGCACATAGCATATCGTAAGGTACAGGAAAGAAGAAGAGTTGACAGAGGCTCCCGTCACTGGTTGATTTGGAGCACAGAGCAAAAGGAGCGGGTCAATTGTTTGAATAATCAAATTATACCACTTCTGACAAATAACATTAAGTTAACTCAACATCTTACAAAGCTACATGTATGTCAAATACTTACATAAAGTCACAAGAAATGTCCGAACCTCTTCTCTTCACATCTCCGGATCAAAAGAAATGTATGTTGACCTGACCAAACACACAGAACTAAAGGAGCAGGCTTCTCAAGGATTGAATTAAATACTTACTTGGTGTGAATGCGCCTTAAGGTAGGTTACTATAGAGGTGATTAACATGTGATAAGAGTCTCCTCTTCACCTGCCTTCCTACCAGACCTGTGCAGTGGACGAGTGCAGCGTGTCTGGATTACATGCCCATCATCCCAGAGACTGCCTCTTCTATCTAAGAGACTGGGAACCCTCCAGGCTGCAGGCTTTACTGCAGGTACACACACACACACACCACACACACATCACAAACATTCTGCCTCTACTCCGAGTAGTAGTGGAGGGGATTGGAATTCAATGTTTCGTGGCCACTGCATTTAAAAATATATTTAAAATTTCTAGCCACAGTGTTCCAGTTAGTCAGGATAATCTAGAGACCTCAATGTGAACTGAAAACAATTTGAACAGTGAGGAAAAATTCCCTTTTTAAGGTGGATTTATTTTGCAATGTTACACTATTCAGCTATTGTTGCTTGGGAAAACTCAAGTCAAGTATAATAAATGTCTATGGTGGTCCTGAGGTGCAAAACACAACAACATTTTGAGTTTAAAAGTGCTTTGAGTGGTCAGAAGACTAGAAAGGTGCTATATAAGTACAGCTCCATTTACTATTTACCATTTACAATTAACCAAAATATTTCACAAAACAGAAAATAAAAATAAAAAACACATTTCACAGAATTTTACAACAAAACAGAAAATACATTTTAGAAAACAACATTTCACAAAACACAACATTTTAGAAAAACACAATATTAATAAAAACACAATATTAATAAAAACACAACAACACAGATAGCAATTTTTCATAAAACACAATATTTCTATGGGAAAAATGTATAGCACTTTTACTTCCTGAACAGGGATACCTAAAATAGCTCGTTCCACTTCACAACTCTATGAAGACAAAGAACTGATTGGAGGTATCATAATCTCACAATACAAGTCATCACATCATAGGAGTTTATTTCCATAAAGTAACCAGTCTTGATTCTAATCTGAATTAACTTTCTGTCCTTACCTTTCCACTTTTAAATGTTGTGTTCTCTATTTTGTTATTGGATTATTTGTTTTGTTGTTGTGTTTTGTCCAATGTTTTGTACCTGAGGGCCACCATACTAAACATTTAAAAACAGCCTCATGAGTAATCAGTGTTTTTCTTTTCTTTGTGACCCACAGAATAATGGAGTGGCCTATAACACTGAACCCCCTCCTGGAACGCAGACAGGTGGGATGCACACATTGATGGTTAAAACCTGCAGACTTTTCAGCTGTTTCTAACACTTTGTCCATCACATTTATATGCAGAAAGAGAAACTCAGAGTGGAGCTGGACTCCAATGCAATGCAAGTGTAGAGTGCAGATGAGGTGTTTTCAGTGCTTTTTCAATGGAAAAACATATCAAACACACATTAGTGTTCCAAGCAGACTATTTGCATATTATGTCTCAATACATTTCTGAAGGGGATATTTGAACTTTGAACCAGAACCTTCATTATGGATTTTGTTTAATTTTAATCGTAACCTGGGGCATAAATCCTAACAGTAAAAAAGGTCAAAAAAGGTCTCTTGTAAAAATGATTGGTGACATTATGATATGCTTTCCAGAGAATCTGATCTTCCCTTGAAGAGGTTTCACTACCACTTATTTCTCTCTCTTTTGTTCAGGTCTGTGTGGAGTGATAGAGCAGAAGGATGAGGGAGGGCAGCAGCCAGATTCAGCCTGTGGAGCTCAGACCCAACCTGGACATGCTGGACTCTGCGAGTATGATGGCTTTATTCAGCAGTATTTTCTCTGATCTCCAACCAAGGCAGCATTATATAATATGTTATAATAAGTAATGGAATATTTGAACTTTTATCACATTTTTTGGAAGTCAGAACAACGGGCAAGAAACAGGATTGCAATGTACACCAATCAGCCATAACATCCTGAGCACTGACTGATGAAGTGAATGTGGCATGTAGTGTAAAAGCGCTTCGAGTGGCCGGAAGGCTAGAAAGGCGCTATACAAATATAGGTTCATTACCATTTTCAGAAGAATATCATCACTACTAACTACTACTAAACTGCCATGCTCTGCTGTGTAATGATGCTAAAATGTGGTGTACTGGTATCCAGGAAGCATTACCGGGAGTACCTGGTCAGCCTGATCAACAGCCACTCCATCGACCCCGCCCCCCTCTACAGTTCCAATGAGCTGCTGCTGGCCTGCAGGAGGTACAAGGTGGACGACACCCGCAGGGATGGAGAGGACAGCTTCACCTACTACAGCAGGCTGCTCGAGGTGAGTATGTATGTATTAATGCTAGTGCCACAGCTCTGTCTGGGTCTGTGTGTATCTTAACTATTGGTTATAAGTCATATACACACATTCACATTCCCCAAAATAATTAATCCGTAAATCTTTGGTGATCCCTGACTTTTCCTCCAGTGCTACCTGGTGAGATTCACCAGAGGACGTTGTCCTGTACACCGTCACACTAACGTCTGTTTGTTGTCTCTGCAGAAACTGATGGATGAAGTCCCACTTGGCGACAAGGTGCCACGCAAGAAATGAAATGAAATGCCTCGCTTCCCGTTTCCTGCAGCTGCCATCATGCCGACCTTTAAACGCAAAACTCAGCCAGAAAGGACAAAATGGCAGTCGTTTCCTTTAGGTTTTGACTCTGTAAATGTTAACTCATGTACCTATGATGGTGTAAATACAGGAGAGTCACCTCTGAAGTTCTGCCTGATATCTGCTGACAGCAGCTCTGACAAGATATTCAAATTCACAAAAGGTAAACTAATAAAGGAATATTCCTCCTTGCTGCTATCTTTTTTCCCAAATGAATGACTCAACCTTGGTTGTTCAATGGTAAATGGACTGTACTTATATAGCGCCTTTCTAGTCTTTTGACCACTCAATGCGCTGTACACTACATGCCACACTCACCCCATTCACCCCATTCATACACTGATGGCAGTGGCTGCCATAAAAGGTGCCAACTGCTCACCAGAACGGAAACTAATCATTCATACACACTCATACACTGATGCACAGCAATTTGGGGTTCAGTATCTTGCTCAAGGACACTTCAACATGTAGCGAGGGAAGTTCGGAGGGGTTCAAACCGCCAACCTTCCGATTAGTGGATGACCCGCTATACCTCTGAGCCACAGCCCAATGTAAATCCACACCGTACAGTCACTAAGCTACAGTAAAACTTTCCCTCTGCACAGTGTTTTTGTGTGCCATGATTTAAATGCAGAAAATTAATATGAGGTTTAAATATTGTTGGTTTCAGCAGAGACGTTCAATATAAATTCAAAGTTTAAAACCACAGCTAGCCCTTTTTTCCTTCCTTTTGTGGTTCCTGTGGTGTTTTCAGTATAGCCTGGCTCTTGTTGGGTTACCTGTCTCCACTGAGTCTTAACAACTGGCTCCAGTTTACTGATCCAGCTATGAGCACAGTGGCACATCACATGGAACATCAGCAGAACTGGGCATATTATTTATTATGAAATAGGATGGAAATACATGCAGTTTCTGACAGTAATTATCCACCAGTTAACAGACTTTGACAGACATGGTTAATACTGCGGTTATATCCTAATTTACTTAATACTGCACTTTTGGCCCTGTCGGCATCCCAAAGCCATAGACAGTGATCTCATCTGATTGGTCAGTAGTCCAGTTGTCGGCAGGTTTTGATCTCTCTGGAGCAGTTCGCCAGGCAGCAGTTGTTACCATGGTGATCCACCCCGGTTAAAAGTGATCACTGTCATACTGTGAAATGTTTACTGCACATTTGTCATTGTTTTTGCTTTATTTGTGTAATGGTGTGTAAAGTTAAATACTATAATTGTGCATGTTGAAACTTGACATGTGAGTATTGTATCAATCAGTTTATAGATATTAACAGTATTAACAGTATTAACAGAAGATTTGTCTTGCAAACATTGTAGCCAGTGTAGCGTTGCAGATGAAGTCCTCACAGGCAGAGTTGCTCATTTAAACTAATCCCATTGGGTGCTGGGAACTTGTAATTAATATGTAGCAATATGGCCGCCTTGATAAATGTGAGCTGGTGTTGAACACGTTGCTGATGATGTAAAACCTACAAGCACTCATAATAACTTGTTTCTTGTTTGAGAATGTTTTCCTTTTGATTGTAGGACTGACAAAAGACGAAGACAAAATGCTGTGTTCTTGGCAAAATAAATGCTACTTATAGACTGCTGATGCTCCTGTCAGACTTTTTCTCACATGTTTAACCTAAGTCTAACATGTCATTGTTGTGGACTGAATTTGGTCTAAAAGTGTGAATAGTATAATCAGTTACTGAATACAAAATGTTTGTAATTATTGAGTAATCCATTCAGTTACAAAAATATGTAATCTAATCTGAACACTTTTGGATTAGTTCAAAACACTGTTTAGTTTAAAAAACATTGAAAATATTGCACCTCATGCTAAAGCCACAAATTTCTGAGCAAATAAAATATATTATGCATATTCAGCATTTACAGTTTCTGTTTGTAGAGGACCAAGTTATTTTTCTACATTTTTTATTTTTATCCTTGACATTTTTTTTAATATGAAGGTATGTGTTGTAATGTTTGACCAGATATATATGTATCTATTTGAGATGTCAAATTCATCAAATAAAAACTTCCAGGCTTGGAGAGTAACAAATTACATATAATACATACAACATATAACACGAGTTACGTAATCAGGATAAAAAAAAAAAACTAAACTAAACCATTACAGTTACATAAAAATGACAGAATCAGATAGCAGTTACATTCAGTAAAAACTGGGATTATTTAGCAGGGTCATTTTACATTTTTAAATATTATGAAATAATATTTTTTGTTCTTTTAATTGTATAATCCTAAAGACACAGAGATTGTTCACTTACCTTCTCCTCCTGAAATCTGTGTCACTAGGGTGTTGATAGGTAGCCTTTAAGTAGGTGACTGAATCCTGTACTAGCTTCTCTGCACTGGCCCCCCTGTAAAATTCAGAATAGAATTTAAAATCCTCCTCCTCATCTACAAAGCTCTTCATGGTCAGGCCCCTTCATATCTTAAAGAGCTCATAGTACCCTATTACACCTCTAGAAACACTGCAATCTCTGAATGCAGGGCTACGTTGTGGTTCCGTATAGTCTGTCCTAAGGTTCTGCCTTTCAACAGGCAAAGTTTCTTTGGTCCCCGTCGCCAAAGTGCTTTGCCTCATGGGTGCACTGTTGCGGTCTGTAACACTACACTTCATAAGGACGTTCGGTCTAGACCTGCTCTATTTGCAAAGTGCCCTGGGAGATGACTTCTGTTATGACTGGTTGGCATCAGCCAATATAAAATTTGATTGCGGGCGCGGAGATTGGGCGCGGCGAGAATTGGTAACACATTGAACACAAGTATATTCACCAAGCCACCCAGTCTTCTAACATCTCCGCTCCGAGCACTCTTCAAGTAGTATGTAACATCAAGAAACAGCAAGGCCCAACAGCCTCTAGCGGAGAAGCAAAATGCTAGTCTGATGAGTATATATGATTAAAATTATTGTTAACAAAAAAACAAAAACAACAATCTAAGAAAAATAATGGACAGCATTCCTGCAATCATTGCAGTCCACGTGTTTACCGCTTGAATCTTGTAGTGGTGCACTCTGCCACGAGATCACAGACGACCAACAACACATTTTCATTCCATATGAAGATTTCACAACGTGACCTCTGTGACGAGACCTACCCCTGGGTCAAAGGATGAGGAGCCACAGTAATAACATTGATCTTGAATGGAAACAGCACAAGATGTTGTGTCTGTCCAGATTTATCAGCACTCTCTGGAATACATCACATGTGTTGTTCTGTTTGTTCCCAACACTCCTGCTTCATTAGCCTTCTGTGTACGCGCAAATGGTTCATTCCTAAAAGAAATCCAGGCGACACACAGTGACAATTGAATATCGATGGGTTTTAACCGACACAATCGTCATGGTGATTGAAGCCCCTTAACTGAAATCCCCTGAATAAAATGCTGCTGACCTTCTTGTATCGTGCAGATTTGGAGATTGTACTGGAAGCAACTGCATTACCTTAATATGAATATCATGGAAATCAACTCAGAAGGCATAATGTGATCCCTTTCAACATTCACCAAATCCCACCACAGCCACAAGTCCTGCAGCGGTCCAGGTGGTCCTACAACATCTGGAAGGGTGGGAAATCTGAAAACAGCCCTGTCCACTTGTTCTCATGGTAAAAGTGAAGAACGCTTTCCACATCTCCTGCGGATGTGACACACACAGTACCAGAATCATCGTTCATTACATGTCACGCACTCAGCCTGCAATTAAAGTGAGTTGCAGTAGTACAACAACATACATACAAGGACGCCCACATTTCATCAATACGAGTGTCCCGATCCCATCCAACGTCAATAGTACACGCTTGACGCTATCTGCCTGAACTACCGACGCTCCCTACCAATCCAGTAGTTAATATTTAGTAATACAGTGCACAGTTTAGTATATTAAAAGCTACTAAAACACATCATCTGCTTACAATGGCGAATAGCTTGGGTATTGCATAATGCCCACTGTGGTTGTTTGTCACTTTCACTAATTGTAGTAACAAAATACACAAAACCTCGTCGTTGAGCCCTTTGGCCTGAGTTATCTCAATGAACCCGTGCCTGAAACTTCACCAAGTTAAAAAACTGTATGTAAGTCGATGTAAACCAAAAAACTCAGATAGGGTCATAAAGTGTTTTTTTAAACTAGCTGATAGGGATCGTTAAAAATCCACACATGATTGGGCCGCAGATACTGGATCGTGGCGAGCCTGGATTGGGACATCCCTAAGTCCATTAAATAGCCAGTAACACTATTTTATATCTCCTGTTCATTTACTTCTCTATTAGTGTTTTTGTACATAGTTACTCTGGCGGAGTCACATCTCCTGCTTCCTTGGATTCATATTCTTCTCCCACATAGGGAACGATCAGCAATAATTTACTACTACCAGTAACCACACAGGCTACAAATCAAGCCATGGAAAAGGGGTTTGAAATCTTTTAAGGACCTTATAACATAAACTGAACTAATTGTTGACACTTGAGTCAGGAAACAAGTTTGGAAACACAACATTGAGTATAATTACATTTTAGCATCGGGACCATATTGCCAATTGTCCTGTATGTATAATCCAGAAAATGAAGGAACACTATTGTCATTGCAGTCTTGTTTTGACCCTGGTCCAGGGCTAGATCATAAAAGATTAATGTAAGATTATGCTAGATTCACAACTAGGGGGAACCAAAGTAGCTCACTGGTAAGCAATGTACCACTGTAGACCCCCTGGGTCTGTGGCAGGTTGACACTCAATCCTGGGCTTTGCCTGCCTAAGGCCAGCCT